AAATGGAGGGACAACTTCCTCTGGCAACACTCATACGCGCCAAGGTTTCTATTACAGAAAACTTGGCAGGTTCTAATTTCCGATTTTGACACGAATTGCTACAATTGATTGAAGAAGCAGACAAAGCACAGTTCTGTAGTTTCAGAGAGAAAAAATGAGATTCTCGTACGAAAATGGAGGGACAATTTCCTCTAGCAACACTCATACTCGCCAAGGTTTCTATTATAGAAAACTTGACAGGTTCTAATTTCCGATTTTGACACGAATTGCTACAATTGATTGAAGGAGCAGGCAAAGTACAGTTCTGTAGTTTTAGAGAGAAAAAATGAGATTCTCGTACGAGAATGGAAAAATGGAAGAGTAAAGATCGACGATATAAAATCAGATCCGTAAATCACGATGCAAGAATCGGTCTTTAGGCCGTTCTTGGCACTGTACGTAGGAGAGGAAGAAGTAATAAAGTCAGTAACCCCAGCGTCTTTCCCTTTGATCCGAAACGGGGAAACTGAGCAATCTCGCCGGTTATAAAGGCCACGTCTGAAAGAGACACAGTGAACCGGCAGGGAAATAAAGTAAGGAAAATAGCATACGAAAGACCACAAGGCCGCGCAATATCTCTCCGTGAAATTCGGCGATTCAAACGGCACCGCTCTCGACGGAATCGTTCGCGTAGAAAGACTTAGAACACGAGTAGATCCTCTTTCATTTCCTCGAAAGGATCCCCGGTACGACTTAACGGACGCACCTGAAAATTATTTTCTCGACTGATCGTTCTTAGCCGGGCTACCTCTTTTTCTCGCAATTCCCAAGCGTATTCTTAGGTTTCAACGCCCCCCTCTCTCCGTCCCCTGGACCGTGCCGATGCTTTGTCCCCTCCGGTTGATCTCCTTTGCTCTCGTTCTAACTATTTCTCGAAGAACGACAGGATAATCCTCAAGAAATTTATCAGCAACGGCGAGAGAGGACCCCGGTCGTCCTTTTTCAGCAGGACCAATCTCGCGAGGTGAATTCTACCGCTGTAGCGTGGCCGCCCCCCCTAGAAAAGGAACGCAGGGACTTGTAATATCTGCTAGGAAGATGGGGGGCACATAATCTCGCCCGGAAGGATAAACCTGGTTAGTGGACAAGATTTCGAAATACGGTCCGAGCAAACGTCGCCACGGAATTACTCCTCCGGCTCGAAATCGGTGCTCCGATGGAGAGGAAATTGTTCCATAGTTGGATCGTACGAGGTGGCCGCCAATGTCCACTGGATAATATAATAACGCGTAATCGAAAATAAAATCAATTCGATTATTACTGAAAAACTGTTTTATACAGTTACTCCCACTCGTATTCGTGCACCATAATGGTGATTCACTGTAAATGGAAAGAAACTTGTTTCCTAGGAATTCTTTCCATTTATTTTTACCAAATATTGTTCATCACACTGTGTTGCTTCTATTCACGAAGTAATTTTTCAGAAAATATTAACAGGTAAGTAATAACCAACTATAAAATCGATAGAGAGATATAATAATGTGAATGATATGCAAATCAACGATACACGTGGTGTTTTTAACGACAGCTTCTTTTTTAGAATCTTATTAATAACGATTAGAATAGTCTATTATGTGTATGATACTAGAATGTATATCTTTAATACATTCGTTGACTCAAGGTCCCTATCTATATGTTTGAGTTTATCCTGCATTTTGTATGCCATGGATTTAATATGTCTTTACCTACATTTATCACAGAATGATGTTCACGATGAATTGGTAGTTTTAGACTATGGTCCATGATACATTTAATTTTTCAGGAAAATTGTAAGTTTCTTTTAATTGGTTCCTAGCCATAAGCAATATTAAATAAACATCTTGTATATAAATCCCACAATAAAGAGACCTGTTTTTAGAAATTACTGTTTGCAACCTACATTGCACTATTATCTATTTTCTATTTCATACTAAATGCAGTATATATCAACGATGTTCTAAATCTTTCGTCCATTTATACCCACACTTTCACTGGTCAGATTCAGACTCAATCTTATCTTCTATGCATTGTTTTATAATATAGTTAGTTACATGTTACTTTGGTCAAATATTCGCAGTGTCGAGTGGGAGTAATTGTGATAAATTGTTACTAGAAATGAACGTGTTAAAAATACCAAAATATTCTCCATCATATCAATTGTCCCTAAGTCGCATCGATTCGACGTTCGCCGATCAATTTAGTAGAATTATAGTTTGGCATGACTCTAAATTATCGAGATAACGAAGAGAAAGCTTACGTTCGAAGAGTCGGAATAAAACATGCGTAATATCTCAAACTGATTGACTTAACAATTTCCTCGTAGAGAAAAACTCGGAGAAATCCTGTCCTTCGGAATCGAAAGCTGAAAATCCCCTTAAATTTTTCCGCGAGCCGTCTTGTTATGTTTCCTCCTCCCAAACTGGGCGAAACGTGAAATTTATCGAAGGGAAGAATTCCCCCCCGTCTCCCGGTTGACAAAATTATAGAAAATTCGTTCGAATGGAAGTTTGCTCTACCCACGGCCAAATAAAAAAAAAAAGAGACTATCACGTGAAAACTTCTCGAAAGAAAATATTCTTCGAGAGGGCGAAGCGACACGACTGGTGGAATGTTAATATTTTACATGCAGTCTCTTGCGCGAGGAAAGAAGGACCATACTTTCTCTCGGACAAGAGATCTTTTAGAAAATTTATTTTTAAGACGCGCCAAAGCTGTTGTTTCCATCGTTCAAGGAATAATCCTTGCTTCTTGTTTCCCTCTTCGAGTATGCACAAAGAAGGCACTGTTCATTTTAGTACACTCCTGCGACTCAATTTACAAATAAATATACACAGCCTGGTATTGATCAAAGTGTGATAAATATTTTTTACAATAAAAATCAAAACAAGCAATTGGCTTCAAAAATGAAAAGAAAAAGAAATAGAAACTTTACTTTATCGCAATTATTAGTAATTGTCACTTCAAAGCGGATAAAATTATATTCTTTGATTTCCTAAACATTTATCTTACTTCGGGAGATTTTCAAAATTCATAACGCTAAAATGAATTGAAACGAACCCATAAAAATAATTGTGGGAGGCTATCTTTACTGTTTGCAATTACTCGAATGAATATAGATCGAAATAAAAATAGCAAATTATCTGTTTATATTTAATATTCGTTTTCATTTTAATTTTGTTATTTCTTTAGAGTATCGAGAAAAATTATATATTTTAAGGTTGTTATCGTCAAAACTACGCGTTGATATCGCTGGAAAGGAACTTGTACTCCGAAATTCTCGACAATGGCCGAAATATGGCTAATCGTTAAAACCCCATAGATCATCGGTGTTCTTCGATTCGGGCATTTTGGTGGGTAATGTAAGGGCTGTCTCGGATCGAAAACTACGGCGGGGTTGAACGCGGTGGTTTGTCGCTCAATACAGCGTCGAATTTATGGATCCTGTCCATGGCCGTGGGATTTATGGGAATCCAATGCCTTAATTGGAAAATTATAGGACAATGTCTGGGAACCGACCGTTCGGCCCGAAGTTCGTTATTCAGCTCGTATAATCTGCCCCTGGTAGCCGACTTTCGCAGCCCCGCGCCTCTGTATTTTCAGTCCCGATAAGAGGCCACGACACCCTCGGACAAAGATAATATAACCACCATTCGTGACTTCCATGATAATAATGAAATTGCAGTTTAAACAAACCTTTATCGGTCCGGCGACGAAGCGTGATTGTTTTAACGTCGCGTCGTCTCGATGCAACGGAGGATCGTTTGAAAAGTTCGCGGCCCTCGTCCACTGCAGGCGATACTCTTCGAGCTTTGTTTGCTTATCTTGAAATGTCATTTCATATTTTGTGTCGATAGGTCCCGCGGTTTGCTCGAAGAAGTTAATTTAAAACAAATCTACCTCGCTGCCCATCGCGAAATGAAAAACATCGGAAATTTTTCGCCAGAAACTTTAGTCAGATGATAAACTAGTTGGACGTTTATTAATTGAATTATTTATACAATTAAAGTCGAAGGGAATTGCGTTGAAAACTGAGGGCAATTTAAGACTCGAAAGAGTACGTTTTCTGTTTTAAATCGTGAACTTTTCAAACGTGAACTTTTTTATTCACTATTCGTAAATTTTTCCAGTTCTGCTAGTGTTCTAATAACTACAGAGGAAATAGTCATTTTGTTAATCTATAATATAGTTCTATAGAGTATATTTCGCGTTAGTTATTTCACCAGCTTTTACTTCACTTCACTAACGATTGATGGGCACAAGATTGACGGAAATATTTGAAAAATCCGAAAGAATAAACTTTTCGACACGCGTCTGTTAAACTTCACCGTGTTATATTGATTTATTAATTCGTACCTCGTGCGTTTTTAACACACTGTACGCTGTTATTATCTATTACAGTTTGATACAGAGCTGGAGGATGAACTAAATCCTGACATAATCATACTTGGTAGATAACAAACTGTACCATTAACTTGCTTGTGTCGGATAGAAAAATGCAAAATATGCTCGTACCGATAAATCACGCCGACAAATTGTTTCTCTCCTCATTTTTGCGATAAGCAAGCAACATAATGTCATCGCTGCTCACTCCCTCTGTTTGCGCGCCGCTTAAAAACGAATGGCGCCCGCTCTGGTGATAATTTCCGGCCAACGCACATGCATATAATGATGCAAACGAGTTAAGTAAGCTCGTTCGAAAAGCTTTTACTTTCCTGGGATCCAGATAACGATATCAACATACTCACGCTTCCATCCAAAAGAATAAATAATTAATTTGCAAAATTTGTCGCGTCTAACAATGCAATGTACTGTACTTCTTTACAATGAAAAGAAGAATATTCATAATCTTTTTACGAGGATGCAGTAAATTTGATATTCTCGTGAAACACCTTTAATTAGTATAGAATAAACTACAATTCGAAGTAGCCTTTTTGTTAATGATTTTGACAGTTTTTTAATGTAAAATCAAGAGGTACACGTACCTAGTGAACCGGCGACGTACAAAAAGTGCAGCTGGTGAACCAAAATGGAGGCCACCACGGCCGTAAGACGACACAGCATCGTAGCAGATCCTCAACTCATCTCTGTTTCGAAAGTTTGGCCACGGCACTTTTATTCTCCTTCCAATCTGAAATGTCAAAAATCACCCTAACTGTTACACATGTACACACGATCTTGATAAGTGATATTAATTTAAGAAAAAGATGCATTTATAAATTACATCGTTTCGTTCCTTTATTATAATGCAATATGACGTTACGTTTTCCACAACTTTTCACACGAATTCATAATAACATAAATTGCTCTATTTTATTACGTCTAAAGCGGGGCAAGCCATGTCTATAATTGATCATAATTGTGGATATTATTGGATACTTGTACAACTATTGCAAACATAAGTTTTCTTTGCAATTTAATTCCGATTCAATAATCAGAATTTTCATAGTAAACAATTCCAGAGCCAATACAGAAAACACTTGTTAAACCATACTGTTTATAATTTTTATTTTATTTTTCTGTACTGCATTATACGTACACTCTAATTACCCATAAATTATTATTATCGTTAAAAGAATGTCGAATTGCTTGAACTTCTTTTGAAATACACAGAGTCAATTCAGAAAAACTTGTTAACCTTATTGTGAACCATATTATTTGTGATTCTTATTTAATTCTTCCATGCTGTATTATGTGTACATTCTAATTGCCTATAAATTATCATTATCGTTAAAAGAATGTCGAATTGCTTGGACTTCCTTTCAAATACACCGAGTCAATTAAAAAAAAATTGTTAACCTTATTGTGAACCATACTACTTGTGATTCTTATTTAACTCTTCCCTGCTGTATTATGTATACATTCTAATTGCCCATAAATGATCGTTATCGTTAAAAGAATGTCGAATTGGTTGTAGTGTGTAGTGTATCAAAATTAATATCTGAAATTGAATCTTATCGTCTGGTAATTAAAGATAAAGCACTAGACGAGACGGATGAGGTCGTTAATTATACTCGGTTCCCTCACTGCACAATGTCAAACGATCCTACCAAGCCTACGGAAATCCCCCTGGACTTTGAAATAACACCTCCGGTTGCCTGGGGCTGACCCAATCGGGTTCACGAGACACAAAGCCTCCCTGGGCAGAGATCAATGCGTTACTCGACCGACCTGTGTATGTGTCCGAGAAAAAGGATCGTCATCCCTTTTGGTCCCCGGATTAACAGTTTAACACACTCGGAACCCAGCCCTATCATGTGTCCCATTTCCTCGCAAATATGCTCCCAATGAATCCGTAACGACCTCGTTCCGTCGAAAATTGATATCACAGTGGTACCCCCCGTTATCGAAACATCCACCACGCGAATGTTTCACGGTGTCCAAACACGATTGTTCGATTATTCGATCGTTCTGTTGTACAAACCCAGCAGTTTCTTGCAAAATATTCGACTAAACTAAAATTCTTCGGCAAAAGAATTCAAATTCTATTTTCTATGTAAGAAATAATTCTTTCGAAAGATGTGAATGGTTAGAAACCCAGTATCTGATGGTGAATCTTGTATTTTAATTTTCTGGACACTTCCCCGTAACAATTATGTTGCACGAAGATCGTTGATAGCAGTATGCTTTGATGAAGTTACTAAATTTGCAAAGGAAGATTCTAAAAATGTATTTTTTTTATTTTGTATATTCGCATGTTACATATGTTTTACATGAGTGTATATATCCTGAATGAATGCATAAATTTTGCATATTCAGCTGAAATTATTGATTTAATCAAATTATCAAGAATGAATTAGCAAGATAGACGTATGTACGTATTAGATCGAAAAGCAACGATCTTCAACAGCATAATTTCATTACGAATTAATTCTTTATTTTCATTTCATTGGATTGACAGTATCGTTCGTAATTTATGACAGTGAAAGCTTCAGTTTCGATAATAAAAAGCGACTGTGTTATGTCTGGATTAGGATGAGAAGAGATGGTTTAATCCGTAACGAGCCACTCCGCGTTTCTTTGCGTGATCTTCGAAATTCCAAAATTGATCTATGATAACACTCGGGCTTTTAATGGGTGCTTCGGAGTGAATTTCACGCGAATTAAGACGTATGGTAAGAGGGGAAACTTTTTGCCGGAGAGATTTAGAACCGACTAGGAGCAAAGAAGATTTATTGGGGTTCGATTTTAGACCGCGAGCGTGAGACTACTTGTATATACGGTCCAAGATCAAGTATTTTAATTATTCAAGTGTCGTTCGGTTGTAATATACGGGTTACAAAATTATTAATTTATGACCATAAGAAATTATCAGTGCATTAACCCCTTAACTTAAATGTTTGTTCAATTTGATGGTTTAAGGGACGACAATATTTGTTTTCCTTCGAGTTATACGCTAGATACAATATTGTAATTAAAAATCGAATTTTTATATAGCTTAGAAATAAGTCCAATAAAGAAAACTGATCATTCTTGGTCAATCCGATAAATATGAGTGTTAAAGGGTTAAAAAATGCTAGAAATCGATGCAGCGAGAATTCACTTTTCAAGATCATCGAAACTGATGCGTTTGCATTTAATTTCTTCGATTCTATCCAGTCTCCTCAGAATGACAATAAATAACTTAACTTAAATATAAATTTCGTTAACTTCAAAATATTTAAAAATTGTATATTTATGTATATCAATAAAAAAATTGTGATTATCTTAGACGAATTTGTACGACCGTACTAAAAACTATTTCTAAGCGAACTACTACGTTGCTTCTTTTTAAAGGATTTTCGAATAGTCTTCTTCGATTAGTTTCTCATCTATTTTTACCAGTTTACCAGGTTCAGTGCTAACAGAGAAAATCCACACCACTATGCTGCCACTATATTTACTACTCCAATACACGGTTCCAAAGCCCATTCTTCTTTTGATCGGAGTACAAATACTCCCCTTTTTGAGCCGAATATTCTGTATTTCGGCTCATCTGCCTGTCGAACCTTGTTCCACTGTTCCACGTTCCAGATTTTTTTCATTTTTTGTCCATTTCGATCTATCCTACCAGTATTTAATCGTCAATCTCAATGGTTTATTCCAGCTATAATTTATCGTGCAATTTAACGTCGATTTTGTTTAGACAACACTCAATTTTTTTCTATTAATATCTATGATCTTTACACAATATTCCGTGTTTTTCCGTAATTTGTCTCTCGGTATATTCTTCTTCGTAGAGAATACAGATAGCAGTTCGATGTTCCAGAGTGAATTGCTTCCATTTTGCCGTGCTAAATGGACTCGATGGATAGACCAATTCTTGCTAGAAAATCGAATGGAAATGCTTGGCTCTAGAGGCTGAAAAACTATTTTTTAAATGCTCGAAAACAAGAGACAAAACAATGAAAAATATACACATAATGGTGTATCATATCATGTGCTTAAAAAATGAAAATATGTAATAAGATTCTTTAACAAAGATCTATCAACAAAGAAGTGTCATAATTTACTGAAAACTATCACTGCTTCCAAACTTTGTAACTTGTAAAATTTCACGTATACGTGACAACATCTGTTAAAGCTCTAAAATTCTTTCGAGCACCTAAAACAAGGAATTGTTTGATTTATGATACAAAAGCCCCCAAAAAAGACTTGCGTGGTGTCACAGTCGAAACGATACAGAACGTGTAAATTGTCGAAAAACTCTACTGGAAATATAAAACAGTCAACGTCGGGAAAACGAGTACTCAGTTATCTGTAAATTACCTTCTTCGCACGAGATTCAATGTACTTCCGCTGTACATTGAAACGACAACAGACAAGGAATAGGAAAACATTCGAAAAGCCATAAAGCTTGAGGTTCTTGACAGTAACAGTAAATTGAAAAAAGATTGCAACGAATCGATCGCTTTGTTCCCAGCTTCCTTTTCCCTTGGTTTTCGTAAATCCATAACAATGGGTCGCTTTTCCCTCGATTTGCATCGAAAGATATTGCAAATATTTCCTTTGTCTGAACATCCATAATCTATTCTATTCAAACACGCCGTACAAAATTATATAGTAAATAAATTAACGTTGCAGTCAATATTTTTCTGTAACGTTAATCTACATTTTAACTGTAAAACAGGACAGAACTTATTGGCTACTGTTATTGGTAATAGAAAATTGAATACAAAGTGTATATGTTTTTCGAATTTGTAGTATAAATTGAACTCTGTGTATTGAGAAAATAGCGATTACTTTCAAGGAAATTGTAAGTAAATAAATTTTTTAAATTACAGGAAAATTACACTTTCATCTCAGAAATTTTATATATGTTACACCATGCTTGACGTGAATTTTTTTAACTGAAAAAAATATATATTTTGTAATCGTTGTATAGTGTGATAAATTCGTGATACAACGAATCCAATTTCTACCAATTGCTCATTGTTTTTGAAAACATAGAAATTTGCACTTTATCGTCTTGTTAGCTCAATACATATGGCGTAAACTCTGCATTTATAAAAATATACAATTTTAGCGAGAATTTATCGCCATGGCCCACGAATGGAGCATCGAAGAGTGAACCACATCGAGCGACAAATAGAATACACGTGTGGACTCGAAGGCCACAGCAAATCAGACGGACAGTCGAAGTTAAACAGAAGATTGTTACCATGAAATTCCGCGTGATTCAATTTGACCGGAAGTTCGACCGAGAACACGGTATACCATCAAGTTCCCGGGTGCCGCCCTAATGAATCTAACGCCGACCCTTGAACGCCAATGCTCTCCCTTGCAACCGTTTCCATCGGTCGTCACCTTTGGCTCGATCAAACCATTCGTAGTTTCCGCCATTTCGGCGCGCAAGAAAAACTATTCGCGCGTTCATTCGTTGCAAGTAAATATTAGGACGTCCCAGAAAATATTGCGCAATTCAGTCGCTGGTCTCAAACCATCCATCGGAACGTAAACGTTTATTGATTCGTTACGAAATTCACGGAGTCGATACAACGAATGAAAAATTTAGTAACAAATACGAAATACAGAAATAAAGGGATACGATTTACGTACAGTGCAAATAATTTTAACATTTTGATGCTCTGT